ATATAGCACCTGTCAATGTTAGCAACTGCTGTCTTGGCTCCTGTCAAAGTTAGCATCTGCTGTCTTAATTAGCACCTGTCATTCTTCTTAGCACCTGTCATCTCCCAAATGATATCACATTCAACGAGTTCCACATGAAGGCTCTCACCACAAGGATCTTAAGATGGAACTTAACTAGCGGTCGCTGACACCGTTAAGCAAGCTTCTAGGAGATCACTGGGCGTCTGAGACGCGGCTTACCAGCGCACGCAAACGACCTCATCAGCAGATTTTTGCGGCCTAAATGTGCGGTGACGGCTTCAAGCTTTTCCATATGTTTGTTCTTAATGATCATAAGCACTCGAGCTCAACGTTATTTTCAGGAACTTATGAGGGCGCTAAAATAATTCATTCTACGAATGAAAGAAAAAAAACAAAGAGATGAAGTGGATATCGATAACTTGCTGTGGTATCGCTCTTTAAGATTATTAATCTCCTTTTAACTTACACTAACAGTCGAATTGTATAAAAATTGAATGTCTACTTGAGTGTTGATATAACTGTCGAGCAATGGGGGATCTGGAAATTGGAATTGATTTCGTTGGATATGATGGTCTGTCTTGAAATATCTCTAAGGTTCCTATAAATTTGTATTTCCTATTGCTTGCAAGTGAATATAGCGATATTATCCACACGTTCAAAATGCACGACAGGTAAAATGAGACAGTGGCACTGAATCACTGTTGTTCCCTTATCACGGTTACTATTTATGGTCAATATATCAGCGGTAACTGAGTAAATATACTGGGAAAAAATTCAAACCCTCTAAATGACATTAGTTATTATTTGAGTGGAATTTTCTAATCAAAAAATTGGAATTTTGGATGAGTGGAATTGGATAACTGGAATTAGATGATTGAAATTGGATGAGTGGAATTAGATGCTTGGAATTGGACGAGTGAAATTGGATGATTGGAATTTAATGCTTGGAATTGGATGCTTGGAATTGGATTAGTGGAATTGGATGAGTGGAATTGGATGAGTGGAATTGGATGACTGGAATTGGATGAGTGAAATTGGGTGTGTGGAATTGGATGACTGGAATTGGGTGATTGGAATTGGATGCTTGGAATTTAATGCTTGGAATTGGATTATTGGAATTGGATGTGTGGAATTGGATGAGGAATTGGATGAGTGGAATTGGATGAAATTGGAATTGGATGAGTGGAATTGGATGATTGGAATTGGATGCTTGGAACTGGATGAGTGGAATTGGATGAGTTGAATTGGATGAGTGAAATTGGATGCTTGGAATTGGATTCTTGGAATTGGATGCTTGGAATTGAATAATTGGAATTGGATGAGTGGAATTGGATGATTGGAATTGAATGATTGGAATTGGATGCTTGGAATTGGATAATTGGAATTGGATGATTGGAATGGGATGATTGAAATTGGATGCTTGGAATTGGATGAGTGGAATTGGATGAGTGGAATTGGACGAGTGGAATTGGATGATTGGAATTGGATGATTGGAATTGAATGAGTGGAATTGGATGATTGGAATTGGATGATTCGAATTTTCTTATGATCGTTCGGTAATTGAGTAATGTAAAGAAAAATCTTATCGATTTAGTCCAAAAAAAGATTGTATTTTTAAGAACAGAGCTCCGGAACCGCATGAAGAAAACAAGTCCCAACAAACTAGTGTTAGAATTCAAGGACAAGTAAGCCCCTGACAGTACCGCGCTAGAGTTCAATATTGCGAGCAGCGCCATGCAGCTATTGATGTCGATGAAGCATCCTTTGATGCCGACACTTCGCCCCCTGCCATGCCAAATTCTAAAGCCACGAAAAACAAATTTCTTAGTTTTATGTTTTTTTTTTCTCGTACGCACCGAGTCAACAATATTTTGCTGTAATCGAAAAGAGGTCGACAGAAGAGGCCATGTTTTAAGGTTATTTTTGATCGCGGATGTCGATTTCTGAAAAGAGATGGTGAAATGGTAGGAGTTCTTGTCGAGTGCGAAAATGGATGTACTAAATTGAACGATCATTGATTTACCCAAGAATCATATTGTATTATTGTATTGTATCATTGTATTGTATCATATTGTCTTTGATTATATATACCGTTACATTTAGTCCTATAAAACTTCTTAAAAACTAGTGTGTGCATGTGCAACTACTGAAATTCCAGTATGACAAATATATCTTTAAATTTATGTCCTTGCCATGAGTTCCAGACATTTCACACTAAGAGATTTTCTTTGAATTGCAACATTCACTCGGCTATTTCTGAAATATCGCGACGTAGATGATTTGATTATTGCACTTTTTTCTAGGGATCACAACTATTCTGAACACATTATAGTTGAGGAAAAAAATTGTTTGGATTTAATATATTTCAGAACTCAATTCAGGCCATTTTAGGAAGCTGAGTGACATATTATGATCTTTGAGTTACCAGTTAAAAACAAGCTTTGACATTATGGAAGGCCACAAGTAATATATATCATCAGCCGTAAGCTACATTAATGCATGCATTACAGGAGGAAGGCAACAAGTGATAAGAAGTAAACATTCGCAGAATTAAAAAAATTCTTGTATGTACTATCAAACTATGCCAAAGCAAGAATCATTGGACGATTGTTCTACGCTTTCCGAGACATCTGGATTATTATTGTCGTTAACGGTAATTTATTGTCGTCAACATTCCTCCTAATTTTCAATAATGACCTCAATCCAGGTCATCAGTATAATTTTTAAACTACCCAGTTAAAGCAGAGAAAAAATCAAGCGGCAGAGATGCACTTTGTGCCATTATGTAAGTTCTAATTTCCGAGCCCGTGATGTTTCCGTAATTTGTTCTCATTTGTATACGAAAAAAGTTATCTCCCGCTCAGGTTTTGCAATTAGGACTTCTGTTTTTTATTTCAAACAATTTTCGTGTATTCTAACGAAAATAGGAATAGTATGACCACGCCACTTCCAATCCGAATCGTGAGCTTCTGAGGTTATAACAGCATCATTTCTTTCCCTTTTCTCTGCTTCTTTGGTAACGAACTGGAATTAAATTATAATATTCAGGTTAGGCAAACAGCACGATTATTTCATTTAATTTCGGGCACTTTTTCTGACAGTTCTGCTCCAATGATCAAACAATTTCCATTGATTGTCATTCGATGCTCTGGTCGCTTGCATTGTTCGCGGAATTTGGACCTTGGTCTCATCAAACGTGTTGTGCGCACGACTAAATCTGTGCTACGTGAGCATCCGGCGTGCCGGACCAGCGAGTGACGTCAGAAGGCTTCGTGGTGAGGGCCAAATGAAATTCACGATGCAGCAAATGCAACAAACAAGTCGATTCGTGTGATTCCACTTGAAACGAGCAGATGAATCCTGCAGTTCAGTTTCTCAACGTTCCCATAAAACGTATTCTTTGTTAAAATTAATGCTTGAAATGATAACTTTTTTGCAGCAAACCGAATTATTTTCTTTCATTTCTACACTTAGTGCAGAACTCGTGTTTCTGATTGTCATTAAGATTTTGATTTCTTATTACCTATTTTGATTTCTTTCTCTTTTTCCGATGGAATAAGAAATTATAGATATCGCACTTTTTGCACGTCTTACGTTTTCAATCGACCCATAATTTTTAAATAATATTTCTCGTATTTTTAGGTAATAATAATATTTCTCGTATTCCAGCAAGGGGCTGTCCTTGATGGAATTAGCAATGCTCCTAGTCCGTTAGATTTAATGAATAGGTTCAAGTTATATCACAGAATGGGAACAAAGAACTTTACCAATATTTTTTGTTGATCCTGGCAAATAAATAAATCTCGGAGATGGTCGTGAGTAAATTACGCAAAGCGTTTTGCACCACGGAAATTTATACGCTTTGAATATATGTATTCTGCAAAGCAACGCTGTTGGATAAATCCATACCTATTTTTGTATACATAGGTAAGAAACTATTTGACCTTTTCTTTTAGAACTTGAGGTGCACGAGGTGTGAGCGAAAGACGACCGGACTAAAGCTTAAGGCAGCAGAAGCATAAGGAAATTAGTACGTGACCATTAGATTTACTCATCGTGACGTCTCCCAGGCCTCGCTTGTCTTATCGTGGATGCCGTGCTGCCCGAAATAGGAGTCCTGCTGCCACCTATCGAGACGTGCAGGGCAACGGTGTGCTCATTATCACTGGCAATTATTTGCGCTGAGCTCTACGTCTGCGCATGCTGGTGTGAGCATCGGCAAGTGGCGAACCGTAGGCCTCAAAACCTGCTTAGCGTTCATGTTGATCGCTACTGTGTTCAGCCGTGTCGCCGTTATCGTTCAGCCTCAACATACGTTGACAACCCAACATACGTTCGCTGAATAACAAGGTAGACGAGTTTCTTATCATCGTTCGCTCGCGCTCATTTGGAGTCGCCTTCCTGACGGAGACCTGACACGACGCTGACTCTGTTTGAATCTCGCGTCTTCGCGTGGAGGGACTACAGGCAGTCGAGCGCGCTGCCCCACATGCAACGCGGCGCCCAGGCCATGAATTACGGCGGAGTAGATACAGTCACCAGCAGAGGATGCACCTTATCATTCGTGACATCGGCATTCAACTCATAACCTTTAAGCTGCTATGTGCTAGGGTCACCTGTGCCTCGTTTACGGGCGTTGCAGTCACCATCTATCGTGCTGGAACGGCGGCTGTGTCGCGCGACTTTTTCGTCTAATTGAGCGATGTCTTCAGCAGACCTGTGACTTTACCCGATCATGTCCTTATTACCGGCGATTTGAACGTTCGACTGGATCGCGTCGAAGACCCATCGGCTCGTCAGCTGAACGACCTGCTGTCCATCTTCGGCTTGGTTTGTCACGTAACATTGCCGACGCACGACATGAGCGGACTGCTGGACGCTGTCTTCACGCGTGCTGACCTTCAAATTCAGCCAGTCGACATCATCGAAATTTCAGTAACCAACCGTCGACTATATCAGTGGACGGTGCAAACCCTTACCTGCCGCCCTTGGCGCTGTTTCGGCAGCGTTGAGCTGGAGCCGGTTGGAGCGCAACCAAAACACTGCAGTCGACCCGACAATGTCGGCCAGACTCATGGTTGAAGCTATCAATCAGCGATCAAGCGCAACTCCACAATACTGAGCTGATCTGTGCACTCGATGACCTCATTCCTGCACGCACAGTTCGGATACCCCAACGAGTCTCCGATCCATGGTTCAACGATGAATGTCGGGTCTCGAAGCTGGGGATTCGACTGCTTCAGCGGGCTGTCTATCGGCGAACAGACGCGGCTATCCTGCTGCTGCAGCTGATGTGGCCTGCACCTGGCGAGAAGCGCGGAGTAATTATGTCGACCTTATTCAATCTTAAACCGAGTCATTTTGATGGCTGAGAGTCGACGCGCAACGCAGCGACCCTCGTGTGCTGTGGCGATCGCTAGATAAACTCATGGGAACAGGTCACAGAGATGATTCGGGTGACGAGCGTGGAGGAATTCCAAGCGGTTTTGGGGAAACAAAATTTCTGTTGTGCGAGGCACAGAAGCGTCGTCAGCCGATGCTCCATCGGCAACATTTGCTCCATACCCGTTCGACTACGTGGTGCAAGATTTCACTTGCTTCACCGCTGACGATGTCATCGCTGCAGAGCGCGCTGCCTAGCAAGCAGTGCGCCAGCGATCCGCTGCCGACGTCGTTACTATATAGGGGGAATGTCCTAACCCCAGCACCTTTCTGCACGAACTTTTCAACTGCTGCCTCACCGACGGCGTTGTTCCAGAGAATTTACACTCCAGAGATCAGCTTAAATTACGCTTCTATTAAAAAAAACATATCTTGACGCTTCTGGTCCCAAATCATATCGATCAATAATAACATGATTTGATATCGATTATATCGATCAATGATCAAATCAATGCGTTGTGACCTGACAACTGAATAACCAACTCCAGCTGTCCGGTCTCATGCCTCGCCTCCAGTCTGCATACAGTCATCTCCACTCGACGGAAACCGCAGTGCTGAAGGTGCTTTCAGATATTCTGCAAGCAGTGGGCAATTGACACGGTTGACCACGCCACTTTACTGCGCCAACTTGACGTATAATTGGGCCTGCGCGGCACAGAGCTACATTAGTTCGAGTCCTATCTCAGCAATAGATTTCAATGTGTTCGGAGCAGGAACTCTTCATCTACGCCATAGTTGGTCATGCGGCGTCCCATAGGGTTCAGTCCTCGGCCCGTCCTCTTCCTGTTATCCACTGTGGACGTATTGCACATAATTGATTCATATAGTTTGAATCCGAATATGTTCGCCGACGACCCCCAAATTTATGGCTACGGTGCACCGGCTGACGTTGTAGCGTTGCAGAACCGGATTTCTGTCTGCATGGACGCCGTATCAGACTAGATGCGCTCCCACTGGCTCCAGCTCAATGCATCATAAATAAACTATTTGGTTTACGACTGCTCGGTGCCAGCATCAGCTTCCGGCCAACCCTATTCGCGAGGACAACGAGTTCGTCATGTCTGCGTCTTCGGTTCTCAACCTCGACGTTCTACTGGATTTCTATAAACAATCACATTGCCAAAGTCACCACCGCTTGTTTTGGCGCTCCGCGACGAATACGTAGCGCCGGTCCGTGAGGCCCTCTTGATGGCACTCGTTCTGACCATATTAGACTATGGCAAGTAATTATCGTTCTGACCATATTAGACTCTATGGACTTCCGATCACAGCACTTAATAAACTGTAGTCCGTAAAGAACGCTGCTGCGCGACTCGTGTGCAATGAGCGAAAATTCGATCACGTTACTTCGATATTGCGCGATCTTCACTGGCTGCGCATTCACCAGCGCACGCAGTTCAAGGCCGCTGTTCTGACGTTACGATGCCTGCACGGAGCGCGTGCGATTTCTCACGGAATGTCTGCAGCGCATGTCTGATCTGCCTCCTAGAAGACGACTGCATGCGTCATCAACAGCTGATCTCATCGTACCATCTACACTTCTATCTACCGTCGGCGACAGAGCGTTCCCGGTCGCCGCAGCCAGTACCTAACACACTCTACCTGCTTCTCTAATATCGGCTCCTTCGTTGCAGGTGTTTCGTCGACGCCTTTAAGACGGAACTATTTCGTAGAACCTAGGAATCAAGTGCTTAGTCATTTTTATCCGTTCTCATACTTTCTCGTGTATATTTCTTTTTCGCTGGTTATTAAAATTATGTGTAACGTGTCCTCGAAGTTCGATTGACGCCACTGCTACATATAGAATAACACAAATACTTTCCTATCCAATTATCAACCTTAAAGCTATTTTGTTATATAAATGTGAACTATGACGCCAAGAAGAAATAAATATTTAATAAGAGCATAGAAACCGGATTGACATTACAAGAAAAAAAATATAACTCAGTACTCACTGCAGTGAGTGACAGAGAGCGCATTTTCTCGTCGACGAAAACTTGAGGTCACGGATGGACGGACGGACAGACGGACGGACAGACAGACAGACGAACATGGCGAGCACAATAGTGCATTTTTTCCATAAATGAGAAAATGCGCTAGAGATAGAGAAATGTGCTTTGCCGTTCATCCAGCACTTGAACCGAATGAGGAAAAAATACGAGATTGGCAGGTTGTCAATAAATACTAGGCTGGAATAAAATATTCCTCGTTTACTGTAAACTAAATTTCAATCCAACACTCATGCATACGTAATTTCCTCATGAGAAAAGGTTTCCAAATTAAGTTCATTTCCAGCAGTTAGTAGTTTCATATTTATACTTACCCCGATAATTTAACAATTCTGTAGGAATTGCATTATACTTGAAAAACTTGCAATGCAAATATGTAAATATTAGCAAATATATAAACTCGAAATTTTTCGTACAAATCATGTCGTCTCACAGAGATCATTGAACGCATGTCCGTGATTAGGTCGTACGCAGAGCTGGGCAGCGCTACTTTGAAATGTCGCGGCCGCTACCGCTACCGCTACATGCTCTAAATGTAGCGGGCGCTACCGCTACAATTGCTTAAATGTAGCGGGCGCTACCGCTACAATTGCTTAAATGTAGCGGGCGCTACCGCTACCATTGCTTAAATGTAGCGCCGCTACCGCTACTGAAAATGTAGCGTAGTATCGGCCGCTACATGTAGCGCGCTACTGCCACCTCTGGTCGTACGCAGGAGCGCATGGATCAGGGCCAACACGCATGATGGCGCACATTGTTATCGCCCACACATGTGCTCACGCATGCACACTGGCGTCAACGACAATAATGCTGAAAATAACGAGGGTTCGCTCATTTACTTATTTGATTATACAATGCGCTTTTATCACGTTCAGTGAATGGTATGCTGTGTGCTTCACTGTTCAGTCCTTACCGCCATTATACAATGTATTCATATATTCATCAAAAATACATTAATAAACTGCGATATATTATATACTGCTGGAATGCAATTATCTTAGCGACTAAACCACATGAGCTTGACGACAGTAAAACGTGAATTTGATACTATTTTTCGAAACATATATCGTCAATTCGAAGAATTTGCCGTGAACGAAAGTTTTGCTTTACAAAAAAATTACCACTTCAGTCAGGTTCTATATTGCCATAATGCACAAACTGTGCTGATTTTACGGCGAATAGAATTGAAGTTTTCAAACTTATGATGGAGCTGGTCTTTAAATTGATTTCAGTGGTAGTATAGTTGATTAAACCTGCTTAATTGTAATGTTCAGACAGTTTCTTCGTCGCTGCCAGAAATTTACAAGGCGTCAATGGAATTATAACGTCATAAGCATAAATGATATTTTGTTGTGGAATGCGCGCCCTCCTGAGACAAATCCAAAATCTGTTTGAATTATTTCATAATTTTAATGAGAATAAGGTGTGACTGAAATTTCCCGCTTCGCTGTACAAATGACGATAAAATGTTTCCGTAAGGTGAAATTTTGATATCAATATATCATTACGTACAACGCTCATAATATTCAATACTAAATGTTGCAAGAAATTTTAGATTAAAAATTTTTTAATTAAATTTTATAATCTTCACTTCATCTCAGCATTCAGTTAAATATTTTTTTACATGTACGTATAACTAACTGCAGTCAAATGGGTATCCTCAGTTCATCCCATGAATTGAAAAGACCATGTCTTAGCGTCTCTTCTAATCAGTGCCTATACTCTCAAAAAAAGTTAAGAGATCGTAAGTTTATCAGCCAATCATTGACGGCCTTTCAAGCAAACTCCACCAATCGTAGACAAGAAAATAGTGCTTAAGTACTTGCATTCACTTAGCGAGTTTTGAAAGCAGAACTGTTGCGGGCCAGTAAATGTCAGGGAACTTGATCTTCTCAGGAGGAGGAGAGGCAGCTCATTGATACAGGCATCACAGATCACCGAAGACCCGCCTGCGTTGTTTATGCTAGCGTGCTACTGAATTCATTATATTATTTATCTCCTCATGCATTAAATCAGCTTTGAATCAACATAACTCTGCTAAAGGTTGAGCAACTTAATGCTAATTGTCGGCAGCGCCTTGATATTCCTAGAATGCATGACTCGCACAAGGCTGGATACATAACTCATACAAGGCCTGATACATAACTCATACAAGGCTGGATACATAACTCATACAAGGCTGGATACATAACTCATACAAGGCCTGATACAACTGTCTCTTATACACATCTAGATGTGTATAAGAGACAGCTCCCTGATACATAACTCATACAAGGCCTGATACATAACTCATACAAGGCCTGATACATAACTCATACAAGGCTGGATACATAACTCATACAAGGCCTGATACTGTCTCTTATACACATCTAGATGTGTATAAGAGACAGATACATACATAACTTATACAAGGCCTGATACATAACTCATACAAGGCTGGACACATAACTCATACAAGGCTGGATACATAACTCATACAAGGCTGGATGCCCAACGCGGAGAAGGGTGGATGTATGCATGACGTACACAAGATTAAACATAACAAGGCATACTAGACAGCCTGCTCAATAACATACAAGAGTGGATGATTAAAGCATAAACCAAAGAATACTTAAAGCTTGCTCG